AGGGAAAGATGAGAGATGGCAGAGGAGTGCTATGTGAGCATGTATCAGAGATGAGGGGCATATTGGGCATGTGGGGTCCTTCCATGAGTGACCACGTGCCAGTTTGTGCAGAAGAACAGCTCATCTGGATTGTGTTTGTTCAAGGTAAGATTCCAAAGCAGTGGGGCTGGAGATGTGGCGCAGGGATAGAGTACTCATCTAGTATGGGTGAGATCCTTGGTTCAATTCCTTAGCACTCAAAAAATTTAAAAAAAAAAAAAAAAGGAAAGAAAAAAAAGGGGGCTAGTGAGATGGGAAAAAGGGGGCTACCAACCCTGATAACCTGAGTCCACCCTTGGAACCCACACTGTGGAAGGAGAGAACTACCTCCTGCAAGTTATCTTCCGACCTGTACGTATGTTATGGCACACATGTGCCCAAACACATCCAAACAAATGAGTAAATAAATATAATAAAATTCTAAACAAAGCAAAACGCACAAACAAAAAAAGCGAAAGTAGAGTCCCCTTAAGGCAATTCTCTCTTAAATTACAAATAAGGATTTTTGGGGGACTGGAGAGATGGTTCAACAGTTAAGAGCATATCCTGCTTTTGCAGAGGACCTGAGATTGGTTCCCAGCACCCACATGGGGCAGTTCACAACCACCTGTAACTCCAGCTTAAGGGGCTCTGACACCTCTGATGTCCACAGGTACCTGCACTCACATGTTCACGTCAGTCCCTCGCCTGAATACACATAATTAAAAATAATAAAATGAATCTGTAAAAGAGAACCATTCTTTGAGCCAGGCATGGTGGCACACGCCTTTAATCTAACCTGCACCCCCGAGAGGCAGAAGCAGGTGGATCTCTTGGATTTCTTCCAGATTCTTTGTGGGGCAGTTACTGGTAATGATGGGCTAGGGAGACCACTCAAGAGGTTCAAGCACTTTATAAGAGGACTGGAATTTGGATCCCCAGATCCCACAGAGATGCCAGGTGACAGTACAGACATGAACCACTGTATCCGAATCTCACATAGGAAATATCAATGAATACCATGACAGCTATCTAGAGAGTAAGACTGTTCCCATTTTCCAGACAGAGAGAACTGAGGCTCAGAGTATTGAAAACACTTGCCTGCAGGTCCCACAGCAAACATATGACAGCAATAACCTTTAGACCTTGTAGGGTTTCCTTCCAGGGCTCTTGTGCCAGTGACATTATTTTTGTGGTATGTGTGAGGGATGCTGGGAGTGAGTTCTGGGTGCTGTGAGCTCCTTGGGGTGTGAAATAGATATGTGTATGTCTGCAGATGATGGGATGCTTTTCTGTGCTCTTTCTGTATTTTGGGGGGACAGGAGAGGTGAAGATACAGTTAAGATCATGGGCACATTCTTTGTTTTAAAATTTTTATTTATTATTTTTATTTTATGTATATGCATGTATTGCATGTAGAAAAGTACACCTGTGTCATGCAATGCCCTCTGGGGACAGAAGAGGATGTCGGATCCCCTGGAACTGGAGTTACAGACAGTTGTTAGCTGCTATGTGTGTGCTGGGATTCGAACCCGGGTCTTCTGCAAGAACAGTGTTCTTAACTGCTGAGCCATCTCTCCAGGCCCCCGGGACAGACTTTCAAACCTCCTCACAGGTTTACAGTTCTAGACTCTGCACACTAGAGATTTTTGCCTCCAAGCTTTCAGAGCTAGAGACTTACTGCTCTAGGAACTCGGGTCAGAGCAAACTTTGGGCCTTTACAGTGAGAGGCCTTACACCTGACAGCCAGTGTTGTATCCCTGAGCTTTGGGTGTTGGGACTTTGACTCCTAACTCTGAAGCTCTTGGGAATTCTGGTGGTTGGTGATCTTTGTGGCCTCTCACTTTGTAGTCTTAGTTCACTGATGTGTTTCCTGCCTTGTACTTTCATAATTCCTCAGTTTCTTCAGTCCCTGCTCCTGGGCTGGGAGCGTAGCTCAAGGGTAGTGTGCTTGCCCAACGTGCGTGAAGCGTTGGGTTCAATTCCTAGTACCACAAGGAAAAGGGAACTTTTCTCAGGGTCTAACCCAGAGTCAAAGAAGGGGCTGCATGGCTGACAGAGCTCCACTTAAGATGGTCAGGTGTAAGACAGGGGTCAGTCAGCTGCCATTCAAGGGCCAAATGACTCATTCCCAAAAGTTTTACTTGTTTACTCACACACAGAACAAAACAAAGTTAAAGCAAACAAACCCAGTGAAGAGCACTTCTAATATAGATTTAGAATGTAATTAACATTCTCAAAAGTACTTCATAGTGCGCAGCCTCTAGCCAAATACCCTTAGGGAGAGTTGGGTCTCTCTGATCTGTCTAACAGTTTTCCCTAAGCTGCCCACCCTGCCCCCACCCCTTGGGCTGGGTGTAAGGCCCAGTGCTTGCCACCAAACATGAGGACTTGAGTTTGAGCCCCAGAATCCATCTTTAAAAAAAAAGACAGATATAAGGGGCTGGAGATATGGCTCAGTGGTTAAGAACACTGACTGTTCTTGCAGAAGACCCGGGTTCAATCCCAGCACCTACATGGCAGCTAACAACTGTCTGTAACTCCAGTTCCAGGGGATCCGACAGCCTCTTCTGTCCTTGCAGGCATTGCACGACACGGGTGCACTTACCTACACGCAGGCATAACACTCATACACGTAAAATAAAAATAATAAATAAAATATTTTTTAAAAGACATGTAAAAGTGAAAGACTCCGTCTAAATTAATCAATTAATTAAGCAAGCAAGTAAGTAAGTGGAGAATGATTGACAGACATTGATGTTGACCTCTGGCCTCCACATTAACATTTATATGGGTGCATGCATGTACACACACACACACACACACACACACACACACGTCCTCCCTCCCTTGTCTTGAGGTGACCTCCCTCCCTTGTCTTGAGGTGAACGGGAAACATACCAACATACTAGACCCCTGTTTTGTAGGAGTAATTCTCACTGAAGAAACCCCCTCCCTACCGCTTAAGACCTCAGTACCCCAAGCTACCTACTCAGAAACGCTTACAACTTCATTTGTGATATACTGGAATGTGCCTTTGTGAGAAGTTTTGCAGCAACCTCAACATCAGCCATTCTAAACAGAGACATAGAAAAAGGACCAATGACTATCTCGGCTGCAGTGGAAAGGAGAAGAGGGGGAAGGTTTCACAGGGATACATTTTCGGCTCATCTTAGATGGTCACAGAGAGAAAGAATAAGGTACCAGATCATCAGGCTTGGTGGCGAGGGCCTTTACCAGCTGAACTATCTTGCCCACCTATTTCTTCTCCCTGACTGTGGATGCACTGTGACCAGCTGCCTTCTTCAGTTCCTGCCACCGTGGCTTCCCCACCCTATTGGACAGTACTCTGGAACTCTGAGCTAGAATAAAGCCTTCTTCTCTTAACTTGCCTGTCTCAGCAATGAGACAAGTAACAGACAAGTAATGGACACATATCCCCTGGGTCATAACACTGCATCACTGAATTCAGATCCTGAACTAGAGAAATGTACTGTTTGCCTTCTGATGGGAAGAGCTACACTGTCACGTGGCACAAAGCAGAGTGGAGAATTGGGTCCATTAATGTAATTAAGTGGCCATGGGGATAATGGTCCACTTCCTGGGCTTGCTGCAGTGGTTACAGGTGGCCAGATATTAGTGTTTAATGGCGTGCCTCATCCACAGTAGGCATTTATGAAATGATTAGACTGGATGTTCATAGACTTTCAGATGGAGCAGGAGCTGTTGAGAATCCCTTCAGACACAGCTAGTTTGCTCAGCACAGCTACTAATGTGTTCTCCATCGTGAATCTGCCATAGCTGCTTCTTGGGTTTACTTTCAGCCACAGCACACAAGCACGCTGAGACCGACTGGAGCCCCTCTCTGATTTGCAGAGTTATATTCATGAGAATAGATTCCCTACCAAATGAGCAGGGTCATCCTCTAGACCGATAGCTCCCCTCCTACTTCACAAATCCCTGATGAATGAAAATGCAGCTCACCTATCTTTTGAGCAAAAGTAACTGATGATGACATGCAACGTTAACAGCTCCTGCTTCCTCAGGAGCAGAGCAGAAGTTCATGGATTCTCGCTTTAGCTCACCGGGGTAAGTACAATTACCGTCTCCATGTTACAGACAGGGAGCCTGAAGCTTCCAAGAAGCTACTCAACTAGCAAGCGGCAGAGCTGGGACTTGAACTCAAGTCTCTCCAAGCACAAGACCAACACACCACCTCGCCTTTTCCCTTCAAGGTCTCATGTTTATTCTGCTGATTGCAAGATGGAGGCCACTTGACTGATACCTGCAACGCTCTGAGCCTGCTCACTCCAGCCGTTCTCCAGGATTCCCACACAGGGTGACAAGGAGTGGCCAATCTACTGGTGGAAGGTCATGAAGAGAATTTTTCTGTGTCTGTGCAGGTGAGGCTGGGACCACAATTTTAGGGACGACCTAGTCTTTCCCAGTTACACTTGAAATCATGTCCTTCCCTTGAAGTCCAATGCCCTGTGGTCATTCCTGGGGACAGCCTGAGGGCTCAACCAAGTTAAGGCCTTGGAACTGGGCTTCCTCTCAGGGCGCTGACCTCCCATGGCTGGTGTCTAGGAGCCAGTGAAGTGCAGGACTCCAGGGAGGAAGATGAGGCCCCAGCCTCAAGCCCAAGCTGCCGAAACTCGAGAAGGCCCTAGAACAGCTGACTCTGGGCGCCAACTTTTGGAGGCGGCTGTCCCCTTCCCCCCACTGGCTGTGCTGTGAGTCACGGGTTTTAAGCTGAGCACTCTGGGAGATTAACCAGCTTTGTGACCAGCTGCTGGAGGAGGGTACTTGGCCGAAAGAAGCAGGATAAAGTTACCTTCTCAGAAGTTTATAGGAAGGCACGTAAATGCCCACAACTGCTGTGGGGCTCATGTTGTAGAGCGCTCTGGGGTGTTCCCCCGCCTAGTCTCTCAACTGCCACATTCATGCCCCTGGCTCTTTACCCACTCTGGTTATTTCCACACCTTGGTGTACTGTGCTTCTGAGAGAGGTCTTGGGCAATGGGTGACGCATGCTAGGGACAGAACCCATCTTGGAGTCAGCAGGAAGGGCCTGGCTCCTGCCTGCCTCAGGCTTGGAGCAGAGGCTGCTGGGAGATGCCTGGAGCAGAGTGACTGGCCATTGGCACAGGGCAGAGAAGGCCTCCACCCCACAGCCCGAATGAATCCTGTTGAGGACTGAGAACTCTCGGCCCTGGGGTGGGGAATCAGGTAGCCTGGGCAATATCCCAGCTCTGCCCCTGACTCTGTGGTCTTAGTGTCTGTCACACAAAAGAGACTGGCATAGACAGACCTGTCAGTTAAAACTATTTCTTGTAGAGCCCTACAAGTGTGACGCTTAGAGTTTTAGGCTGGTAGGATGTCCAGTTTTCACATACACCCTCACTTCTCATACAGCCATATTCTACCCAACCCCAGAACTGACTGGCTTCCTCTTTATTTGACAATTTTTCACTGAATGTCTATATCAAACACTCTTGTAGCTGGTAAAGATTAGTAGTACTTTACTTTAAGAAATAAAGAGTTTGGGGCTGGAGAGATGGCTCAGCAGTTAAGAGTCCTGACTGCTTTTGCAGAGGGCCCAAATTCGAGTCCCAGTACTCACATGGCAGCTAACAATCATCCTTAACTCCAGTTCCAAGACCTCCAATGCCCTCTTCTGATTTGCACAGACATGGACACTCTTACATACATGCAGACAATACACTCATACACTTAAAAAAAGAAAAAAAAAGAAATTAGAATTATACCTAGGAACTTATGAGTACATTTAAATGACCAAATGGCCCTTCTGCCTGCTTTATGTGTCAGTGTCACCTGGGAATATATTTTCAGACAAGATTTTGCACCTAAGGAACTTGGTCTAGGAGGATCCTGGTACCTCTCCATCCCCCAGATTCCAGTCTCAAAGCTCTATGTTTCCAGTCCTTTGGAGGAGTCCAGGAAGAGGGGAGGTGGCATCAGAGTCCCTAGACACCTGCCGGTGTGGGCCTTTCTCCACATGGTGGAGGGCCACATTCTGAGAGAGGCTTCAGGTCCTTTAGGACCAGGGCCTGATAGGGAGGCATGTGGGCAGGAGGATGCTGGGTACAGTCTTTTCCTCTGGATCCAAAGGTGCAATGTCCAAAACAGGCCAAGACAACCCTGCCCAAGACGTACCACCAACATCCCTCACTGGGCCAGCACAGAGGCCACTCTCTACTAGGTACTTGACATGCACGTTCCTTAATCTTGGCAGTTGGGTATTGTTGAGCCACATTTTCTGGAGGAGGGAACGGACGGCCCTGCTACAAGCCAGGCCTGTACTGAGACCTGTACAGGACCTGAGACTGTACGGGGCCCATTCTAAGTCAGTGAGAGGGAATAAGTGAGAGCTAACACAGTGACTTCATGGAGGACAGGACATTTCCTAACTTAACTTCCTGAATGCCCCATTTTGTTATTATTGTTATGACCACTTTATAGGTGGGGAAATTGAGGCAGAAAGACAAATACGATAAAGTGATGGAAAAGATAGATCTGAGATCCCACCTCTTACATTTGAGTTTCCTACCCATGAATTTGGACTCTATGTTGTGAAATCTGACAGCCAAGATGACATTATTCCCCACACAATATTCTATGACTCTTCTGAGACAACCAAGAGGTCAGAACAGTCCTTGCTCATCCGCAACTCTCTCTCTGATGTGGGACACTGCTGGGTAACAGAGTCACCAGCCAGGGCAAAGACAGCACCAGGAGTCTGCATCCAAGGATGCAAAGCTGGCAAGACTTGAGATGCCAATCCTGCTCTGCTGCTGAGCAGTGGGATGACCTTGAGCAAGGAGGGTGACCTCTCTGAATGCCCCCTGCCTCATCAGGAAGCTAGACACCAACATCACCCTTCAGTAGCCACTCAGAGCAACATCAAGTCCTGTGCAGTGTCAATCTAGGCTGCGGCACAGTGCAGTAGCTAAGCTACAGAGCCAAGCTGGGTGTCCATCAACAGTGGACTGGATAAAGAAGTGCAGCATATATACACAATGGAATTTTCCAGTCATTTTTACCCAGAACAAAGTTATAACCTTTTCAGGAAAAATGGATGCAACTGGATATATTTACATTGAGTGAATTAAGTCAACCTTAGAAAGCAAGTATGATATGGTCTCAGTCATTTGTAGTTCCTTTCGTATAAACATAAAAAAGCATGTATATTTGACGTGAAAGCAGAAAGGAAACTGTCCAGGGGAACAAAAAAGACTAACAAGAGGGGCGAAGAGTGGAAAGGAGGGGATGGGAGTGTGGGGGTGTACTCGATGGACAGTGTATAGTTGTTCAAAAACGTCATTAGGTAACACAGTACCACGTAAAATGAAAATACACAATAAAAATTCGAAAAAACCAATCCTTTGGGAGGCCAGTAATAAGTGTCCAGCCAATGGTGGCTGTGGTTTGCTAACAAAGCTGAGGAGGAGGGGGAGAAGGAGGAAGATGAGGGTGGAATTTGCCTCCCTGTGACTTCTGCCCTTGGCCAGAGGCTGGCCTGCTGCGCTCAGACTCTCTCTACCCACAAGCCTGTCCAGGCACCTGCTGTGGGTGTTGGCATTCCTGGGCGTGGCCAGAGCCTGGCCAGGGTGAGGCCAGGAGGGCGGGTAAGGACAGCTCAACCCCTGCTGGAGCTTGGTGTGGGGGCAGGGCTGCTCCTGGCAGCTGGGGGCCTCCAGGAAAGGGTGAGGGCACAGAGTATAGAGTGAGTGGGTACAGAGTCGGCCAAGGGACAGGAGGTCCCTTAGAAGCAAAGCTCCTGCAGGCAGGCTTTCTCTAGGAGACTGTGGCAGTGGCAGGGTGCATGGCTCTGCCGCCCACTGCCCCAGCTGTGCTGATCCTCAACATTTACTATGTGTTCAGGCTTTGACTAGGCCTTGCCTCTGTTTGCAGAGGGCCTCTGTCTCCAGGAGGTAGAGATGGCATCAGAGTAGGCCAGGCCAGGTAATCCAAGGTCCTTCTGGAAGAAGGAGGACCCGGTGGAGTCAGGTGCTTGAGGGAAAGCTTCCTGGTGAAGATGGCTCCTAAGCCCTACAAACTGGAAGAAGCTCCTTTTAGGAAGAGGGCACAGCATGTGCAAAGGCCCTGGAGCTCATCCATGGTATTAGATAAAGACTCTCAGTTCTCACACAGGCTTTGTTTGGTAGGCAATGGGGGTGTGTGTCTGGGGACTCAGAGCTAGGGCAGCCTCTCCAGGTAAGCTGGTAGGACAGGCCCGAGTTTAGAGAAAGAAGACCACCCCCTCCCTGGGGCCAGAACTACACTCCTGTGACCTGTCTTAGCACCAGAGATGTGGGGGTCTGCAGGGTGCATGGCTCAGACTGCTGTGAGAAGTAGCTTTTGCACATACCAGCACCCCCAAAGTTCTATCTACTGAGGAAACCGGCAACAGGGCCCAGGGAAGGGGGGACATCCCCAAATACACATTTAGAATATGGAGGTGTCCCCAGCAGCCTTGTACACATTCAGGAGAGTGACACAGACAGGGTTTATCCACATACCGTGATAACAGGGATGTCACACAGCCCTTTCCCCTCCCAGGGACTCAGGCCTGGGGCCACCCTTTCACACAGCGCAGGGGCGCACAATCATGTGGCTTGATGCGGTGGGACCCTTCGATGGCGGCCGCAGAGGCCTCACTGATCCTAGGCCGGTGCAGCCGGAGGCCATCAGCGCCAGCCGCGGGGCCTCCGGGGCACACGTGCGCACGCCGCTCGCCGCACACACCCGCCCGCCGCACACACCCGCGCACACGCCGGCGCGGGCTAACGAGCCCACAGCCCTGCTGGGCGGGAGGGAGCCAGTTGTCAGGCGGGGCCGCCGCGGTCACACAGCATTAGCCCTGCGGCTGCCCCACCAGGTGCGGCCACTGCCCCTAATCCCTGGCCCGCCCCGCTAAGCCCGGCCTGAGCAAGCCACAGCTGGGGGCGGCCGGCCACGCGCCACCCCTCACCGCAGTCCCTGCTCCTCCCTGCGCCCTGCACCCAGCTCCCCAACCCTGCGCACAACAATCCAGCCCCAGCCCGCCCACTGACCCGGCGCTCCCAGCCCGACATCCCTAAGTATCCCCACCGCCCCGCCCACCTGCCTCCTTCTATCCTTTGCTACAGTCCCCTGAAACCTGCTCTCCCTCCAAGGCAGG